ACAAAACTGATGGCACTTAACAACAATATGATTTACAGCATGAGTTTGGGAGTGTGATTTCCTTGTGTTTTGCTTCTCCATAGATTTTTTTTTTGAATTCTCTCAGAAATGTCTCAAAAATGATGATACTCATTGATATCATCGTTTTGTTTCTTTTTGTACACAGGAAATTCATATACATAAATATAGTATACACATATACATTCATAAACCAAATTCAAACCCACTGCCATAGAGTTAATGCAGACTCACAGCATCCCTCTGTTGTTGTTGTTGCTGTTGTTATGTGTTGTTATGTGCCATGGAGTCAGTTCCAACTCATAGCGACCTAGTACAGGGTTTCCAAGGCAGAAAGCCTCATCTTTCTCCTGTGGAACAGCTGGTAGTTTCGAACTGATGACCCTGAGGTTAGCAGCTCGATTTGTAACCACTACACTACCAGAGCTCCTTTGTAAGAACCCTCTGTAGCACTTCTGAAATTGTAAATCTTTACAACAGCAGACCTTCTCATCTTTCTCCCATGGAGCCACTGGTGGGGTTGAGTCACTCACCTTCTTGTTAGCAGCCTGCTGCTTATCCTACAGTGTCACCAGAGCTCCTGTATACATTCAAATGTGTTTATATAAACTTTTGTCAGTTCATGAAATTTTGAATAGAGGAGGTGCATGTGTATGTATGTTCAGCTCAGAATCATTTTTTCTTAAGTTTTTATTATGAATTGAGTGATAGTTTAAATAGGAAAACAGTGGTTTTACACTCATTTCATTGCAATGATTACAATCCCTCCATGCATCATCATTCAATAGTATTTGCTTCTATTCCCTCTTTTTTTTCGGGGGGAGATGTACATGAAAACGCTCAGGAATATATAATCATTTAAACAACCAAAAGGCACATTCTGCAAGCCTGCCTCCTGACCACCAGTACACAGCCTTTCTCTTTCCATGAGTCCAGAGTTCTCAGCTGGTCCCTTTCTCCTCTTCCTCATCTCTGCCCCCATCTTTGGTATTGTTGCTTCTCTGGATAGGGTCCCACATTCTGCTCATGCTCTTCTTCCTTGAAGGTCCTAGGGTTCTCTGTTCCTGCACTGTAAGATTAACTACTCCCCACTTTTTGTTACAAAACTTCTACCTTTACAGTTGTGACCATCACAATTAGTCATGATAACAGTTACTCGCTATTGAATCATAAGAATCTCATCTCCTTTCACCAGACCCGTCTAGGCAAGATGAAAACTATTCAGGGAGGATTCTACCTTCCCTAGCACACTCTGAAACTAAACTCCCTCCTGAAAACTTGTAAGCCAGTCACTTCGTGCCATTATAGCCTCCCCATTTTAGGTAGCCAATGTCCAAATTGCCTTTCCCTATCTACCCTGTAAATAAGGAAGACCGTAGAAGAATTGATGCTTTTGAGTTATGGTGTTGGAGAATATTGAAAGTACCATGGGCTGCCAAAAGAACAAACAGATCTATGTTGGAAGAAGTGCAACCAAAGAGTTCCTTGGAGGTCAGGATGACCAAACTTTGTCTCACATACTTCAGACATATTGTCAGGAGGGACCAGTCACTGGAGAAGGATATCATGTTTGGTAAGATGGAGGATCAGAGAAAAACAGGACGACTCCCAGCTAGATGAATTGGCCAAGTGGCAGCATCAATGGATTCAAGCGTGGCAACAATAATGAGGTTGGCCCAGGATCGGACAGTGTTTCGTTCTGCTGTGCATAAGGTCACTATGAGTTGGTACTGACTCGATGACACCTAACAACAATAAATCTACCCTGTATAAGAGGGCATTGGATTGATACTTCATGTGAAGACTCCTCAGCCCAGAATCTTTATCCAACTGACTCTAACCCTTTTGTAGGGTGGAGGAGTCCTTTAGTTTTGTATTAGAACTAACTCCACAGATATAAATGTGAGCGTATGTGGAAAACCTTGATTTTTGTTGAATTGAATGCTTTTAAGTTTAAAGAGTTCTTTAGATTAATGAACTGTTCAAGGGCAAATGAATGCTTCATATGTTCTTTTGATAATACCAACACAAATGACAATAATATTCCCATCTTCAAATCTACATAGGTACATGTTGTTCACTTATGCAAGTTTTTCCATGAGTCTCCTCAATAATTGCTTCTCAGAGTCATTTAGCACAAGGATAGTGGTGGTGGTAGTTTGGCTTATTTTGTCATTGATTTTAGAGTTTACCCTTGTCCCTGTAGTCCTGGTGTGGCACTGTGGGTTCATGCACTGGACTACAAAGCCATCTGAACTGCAAGGTCAGTGGTTCAAGCTCACCAGTCACTCCTCGGTAACCCTATACAGGTTCACTATGGGTTGAAACTAACTCGACAGCACTTGATGACAACAACAACAACAAACCCTGGCCCTACCTTGTATTTTATAAACAAAGAATACCTCAGATACTTTATATTTTTCCTTTGAACTTAGCCAGTTCATATGTATTAATAAAATAAGAAAAAAATCAATGAGGAAAAATGTAAATGAACAAAGAGTGATTTATCTAGCTGCTGGAGACTTTTGATCTTTTTTTTTTTATGTTTTTAGATACCTTCACAACACAAGGTCTGAATGGCACTGGGCCTGAAATATCATTGAGAGCAACAACCGATGTGAATTTTATTCTAAGAAACTGTAAGTACTAAAAGGTACTGCTTGTTGTGTGAAAAGACATTAAAGCAGGATTTCTAAACAGAATGTTAGGTAGGAAAGTGATCTTAGTGTAGCTAAAATTAGGGAAACTTAATTCTTAAACTAAGGAGCTCTGGTAGTATAGTGGTTATGAGTCAGGCTGCCAACCTCAAGGTCAGCAGTTTGAAACTACCAGCTGTTCTGTGGGAGAAAGATGAGGTGTTCTGCTCCCATAAAGATTTACAGCCTCGGAAACCCTATTCAGGGTCAACAACAACAACAGTTCTTAAACTAAGGACCCCTGGTGTGGCACTGTAACATTAGCACTGGAATGCTAACCCCAAGGCCTGCAGTTCAAACTCACCAGCTGCTCCTAGGTAACCCTACACAAGATCACTATGAGTTGGAACCAGCTTGACAGCATTTCACAATGACATCAGTTCTTAAACAAGACTAAAGTTTCCCCTGTAAGTTAGGTTCTGTGACTCTGAGATCCACCTGAACTTTGGGGTCTTCCCCTAGGTTTTTGCTTTCTTACACTTCCTCTGACTCCAGCACGAGGCTCTATGCCCAGTGCACTGTCACGAAGCTTCTTGTATGTCCTAACCTTGTATTTTTTGGTATGTGCAAGAAGAAAATTTAGCATATGTAAAATTGAACATGCATACATATATGTAGAAAATAGTTTGTCTTCCTTACTCTGTTCTGCTTTTGACCTTTATCTGCAAATGCTCTTACTTCCTTTGCACATTCTTCCAATAGCATAACTGTTTGATGGACTAAACTTTGTCAGCATGTAACTTTTGAGGATTTTGAAAGTCTCCAAAGTACATGTATATGACCACAATTTTTACTTGTAGTGTCAACAACTCATCATCTGTGAAACATGTAAAGATCAAATAGAAGACAAGAAAAAGAAATTGAATGAGAACAAGTAGATGGGGAGGAGAAAATGTTTCTAGCTATGGTAATTTCAATGTTGGGAAAAAAGTTAAAGTCAGTGATGCCGAATTACTAATAAAGTTATTTGACAAAACTGTAATATTTGATCAATTTCAAATCTTGGGGTTTAAATGAGACAGGGATATTATAAGGGCACAATTTAATTATACAAATCACTCATGGAAATCTTGCTTTTACTCAGCAAACAACATCTTGAGTTATTTTGGATAAGACACAGAAAGCCAGATCTTAAATGGACCAGGTAACATGAATTCACCTATGCAATGGGTTTTGGAGGACCACAGAACACTGACTTCTATTCCCGCAATTCAGGTCCCCAGAGGATCATCACAGAAAGTTGGATTGGGATAAGAAAACCTTCTAGATGAGCAAGTCCCTCAAGGAGACAGAGGTCTCTAAAATAACCATGCTCTCAGGTTGCCTAAACATAGTTCATCAAAGGATGAACTGAGGTGACAAAATACTTTTCTTCAAAGTTGACTGTGAGAGGGCATGGTGAGTTTAGAGATCCCTTATCACTTGTTCAAGTCCTGGCTGAATCAATGTCAGCTCCAGTGTCTAACCTTTTCCATCTTTGTTTGCCAGCAACATACTTTTGCTGGTCCTGGCTATAGGCTCAGTCTTAATGTGTCCTAGCTCTCTGTAGAGCTCCTCCTATGGTGAGGTGGCCAGTGGTCCATGTGCAACCCACCAGTCACTCTTTGGAAACCCTATGCTAGGTCACTATGAGGCAGAACTGACTTGGCAGCACTTAACAACAACATGTTAAATAGTAAATTGAAATGGCAAACAACATGGGGAACAAGAGGGTCTTCAGTCACAATTGTTCCTAATTAGTGACCCTTTTAGTGACACATTGTAAAGTGATATATATACTAAATTAGACCTGAAAATTCTTGACTTGTAGCCCAAAATCTTTATATGTAAAGCTCTGTTTCGAGTGGTTACCACACACATTTCCTATTTACATAGATGCTCATGCCATTTCTGTCTTCCATGTTTTTACCATGACCAGCAAGCAAGCTGCCCTGAGCTAATTGTATTGTTGTGCAGGTCCCACCTGAAACCAATGTATCTCACCCAATAGATGTTCCCTGGCCTCTAAAAGAAAGCATGGCATCCTGCTCCCTGCTCTTCCTCTCTTTTACAAATTATAGGCGTATTAATACCACCTCAGGCAAGATATTATCACAAAAGCTTTATTCTTAAATGCCTTCTTCTTAATCCTTCTTTAAGTTGTCTCAGGAAAATTTCAGTCTTTCCTATTATTTCTTTTCTCTCTTGCTCTTTGTCCCATTTTTTAACTTAAAAGTATGGCTGATCACAGTAGGTTTGCCAATGGTTGTGGATGCAGTGAAAGCTCATTATTTTCTTTTTTCCTAGCTCAAGCCAACACCGAAACATCTACTACAAAAGCCACTGAAAACCCCATTGGAGAAATCACCACTGAAGAAGACACTATTAAAGAACCCCTTGAAGTTCATGACTATCAAATCCAAAGTATTAAAACTACTACTACACTGTATTCATACCTGGACCATATCATTAACTGACCTAAATATTTAAGTTTCACTCTCTGAGCACTTCATAAAGTAATGGCATGCTTACAGAATTTACACTGCTACAATTTAAAGACACTCTAAAACCTTTTAAACAGTGAATGTCTAAGAGTCCATTTTCAGATTTACCTGACAAGAAATAGAAAGTGAGCATTTTAAAAAATATACTTTTATTTTAATACAATTCATTAAATTTATATTTATATTGTATATATTTATAAACCAATGTACATTTATAAATATATATCTTTGTATGCTATATATACTTATTGATAAAGTATATATAAATATAGTGATATAAATATAAGTGTATTTATTTGCCATATTTTTTATTTTACTATAATGTGAAATTTTCTACCTGCTTGAGGAATAAATATCTCTATTAGAGTCAATTATTAATATATCCTAAGATTATTGGGGACAGTGTTGAAAGGAAGGAAATTGCAAATTAAAAATTATTATTCCTGACAACATTGTTCCTTATAAAATATTTGTGAAACCCAAACAGTCTAGGTGGTTCTTCTATAAGATCTTGGATGAGTGGTCTACTTAAAGGTAATGGATACTTACAGGTCACTACAGAAAATTCCATTTTCTCTAGTTCTTGCAATCAAGGCATGTTTTTAATGTGATTACTACAAATTAGTTTGCATCTTTAACACTACTAAAAACTAAACATATCCACTTTTTTTTAATATGTTAAAAAATGGACACCTGATCCTTCTGGTATCTGTTTGCTTAAATATCATCAGGAACTTACCACTAGGGTTTGGGTCATGTTCAAACTTGTTAACCCAGCACTCAAGTCTGAAATGATCTGGCTAGTAATGAACTTTCCAGTCTCATCTCTGGTCACATGCCCCACTGACATTATTCTTCATTCCAGATAACTTGGCACTCCAAGACCTTATGGAGTCTGCTCAAGACTTTGCATTTGCTCACAGCAAACAAGCCAAGAAATGACTTCTTCCTTGACTTGTTTGCCTGGCTAA